CCTTACTGAAGGGATGGACACAAACCCTGTTAATAAAAAACCTTTGAATGTGTTGTTCGAGAAAACACAAGACATAACTAAATATTTGCGGGAGGAAGTGGGAGTTCGGGTAGTGGAAATGTGGGAGTGTGAGTGGGGGAAAATGAAAAAGTCTGCCCCTATCGCTAGGTTCTTGCGCGCTACTTTTCCTCGTCTCACCCCCTCTTGGAAAAACGGTCCTATCACAGAAGACACAATTATAGCTGCTGTTCTGGACGGTTCGTTCTTCGGTCTTGTTGAATGTGACATTTCTGTTCCCGACAAGCTAAAGTCCTATTTTGAAGAAATGACCCCTATCTTTAAAAACATTAACGTGACTAGAGACGATATAGGTCCCTTTATGTACAAACATGCCGTTGAACACAAACTGCTGACGAGTCCCCGACGAACCTTAGTGGGCAGTTATATAGGTACCAAAATTATGTTAGCGACACCTCTTTTAAAGTGGTATTTACTCAAAGGACTAGTCGTGACCAATATTTATCAGATCGTCGAGTACCAGCCAGTAGCCTGTTTTAAGACGTTTGGGGAGACTGTTTCTGACGCTAGACGACAGGCAGATAGTGACCCTTCGTACAGTATAAAGGGGGAAACCATGAAATTGCTAGGTAACTCGGCGTACGGCAAGACATTGACCAACAAAGCCAAACATTCTAACGTATCCTACTGCCTCGACAAGACCGTTTCCAAAAAGATAAACGACCCTCTCTTTAAACATATGACACAACTTTCAGACAACATTTTCGAGGTAGAGCTGCTGAAAAATAAAATTGTTGGGATCTCCCGCTGCAGATAGGGTTCTTTGTTTATCAGTATGCCAAGTTGCGCATGTTAGGTTTTTATTATGATTTTCTAGATAAGTACATAGACAGAGCAGATTTTCAGTTGTGTGAGATGGACACGGATTCCCTTTATTTAGCGCTCAGTAGCGAGAGTCTTTCTGATGTTGTTAGACCCCATCTTAGAGCTCAGTATTTTGAAGAATATGACCGTTGGTTCCCTTCAGAAGTCTGTTCTGTTCATAGATCCCTTTTTATTTCCGGCGAAGGTAGTGTCCCTGTAGACTGTCAGGATTGCTGTAAGACACGAAAATACGAGAAGAGAACCCCGGGTTTGTTTAAGTTGGAATATGAGGGGGACGGAATGATATCGCTCTGTAGCAAAACATACCACTGTTTTGGTAAACACGACAAAACCAGCACCAAAGGACTCAGCAAACACCACAATACATTAAATAAAGCAAAATTTTTACAAGTTCTCAACACACAAAAACCCCAAGGAGGTATCAATAAAGGTTTTAGAACACGAGGAGCCTCTGTCTTTACCTATAATCAACACCGAGATTCTCTTTCTTACCTTTACATAAAAAGACAAGTGCAAGCTGATGGTTTCTCTACTGCACCTCTCCGCATCTAACCCGGCAGAGAACCTTTACCCCTGTGCTTTCATTGTGTATTTACCCGTTTGGTTTACTAATATTGTCTTTTTTATGGTACCCCTGTATTTTTGCTGTACTGTTGACTTTGTGTCAAGTGCATCTTATAACTTATAATACCCGCTATGTATATTGAGCAAATAAATAAAAGTCTGTTGAATACCACACGGCGTTGTTCTTATTATTTCAACTATATAAAACACCCTACAAAGTACAAACAGCTGGCTACATTCCTGTAATAGCCATCCTTTTCCCTCCGGTAATACTGACCAATCAGAATTGACTACTAAAACCCCAGCTGACCAATCAGAACCTTCGAATATTATAAATTCAGGGTACCCATTACTTCCTACCATAAGAGAACCGCGCCCTCTGCAACCTGAAAAAATCACTAATCCCTAAGACTGTGTGGGGAAATGAATCATCCGCCACTTTTAACCAACAGCTGGCCCTGCACTAAAGAAATATTTGTCTTTTCCCGAAGAAAATACCCTGGGAGAGACAAAATATCGATGTTTATATGTCTGTTCTCTTGTATAGGTTGAGCGGTCGACCTTCGCTACCATGACACAGATGATGATGATGGTTCTCGAACCGCCCTTTCTAATACATCCCCGGTCATCATGCCGCCTTCCTAGTCGCCCCGGGTCCCCTGCCCCCGCTGCTCACCTAAATAGTGTTCCTGACCTCACCCTTTATATAACGCCACCTGTCACCTGCAGTTATGAAGATAATAATGCATCTACAAAGTATCGATTTCCTATACCTTTCCCTAAAACCAATCACTTGTGCTGTCATCAGCCGCCCGATCGATATTTACTAAGGACAAAGAGGGCGGCTTACCCGATCGATATTTACTAAGGATATATAAAGCCGCCAGAAAGAACCAATCACTTTTGGCCGCCATCTTTTACTAAGGATAAAGAGAGATCGATTTCTGAAATGCGGCCCGTATTACGCTACCCCACTACTAATGTAGTAATCTTGGTAGGGGAAGGGTATAGTTTTTGTTGTCATAGTAACAGTAGTATTTGGTAGTAGTTATTAAAAGTATTTTATAATAGTTGAACTACGAATGGATGTTGATATAGTATTATCGGCAGTATTTGTTGTTATAATAGCTATAGTGACAGTCGTTTTTTTTTTTTCGTGGTAAAGAATGTTTGTTGTCGTCCTGCTTCCACTAACAACAAATAACGGACACCACTCTCTCGTCTAAAATACCATGTATCTCTTAACCTATTTTTCGATTAAAAAAATATTTTACTATATGTCTTTCATATTTGTTGTGGTCGGGTTATCATTTCTCTTGGTTGTTGTCTTGTCTTTCTTGGTCAGGTTATAATTTTTCTTAGTCGGGTTCTTTTCTCTCTTGGTCAGGTTATTTTATTTCTTTGTCGTGTTCTTGTCTTTTTTTGGTTGTTGTCTTGTCTTTCTTGGTCAGGTTATAATTTTTCTTAGTCGGGTTCTTTTCTCTCTTGGTCAGGTTATTTTATTTCTTTGTCGTGTTCTTGTCTTTTTTTGGTTGTTGTCTTGTCTTTCTTGGTCGGGTTATTATATTTCTTTGACGTGTTCTTGTCTTTCTTGGTGGGGTTCTTGTCTTGTCTTGCTTGTTGTCTTTGTCTTTCTTGGTCGTTTTCCTGTATTTCTTGGTCATTTCCCCCTCTTTCTTGGTTATTTAAAAATTTTTTTTTTTTAGCTGGGCGAGGGTAATTGCTTTTTTTTGTTGTCAGAGGGGTTATGGTTTAACATAAAATGCTTATTAGCGGCTATTCTAGTAAAGAATCATGACAATAAACGCGATGAGTGGGTTTGGTCAGTTTAACAACAACAAAAGCAATACACACACATACTCTCGGTCAGTTGCGTATCCTTTACAGGACGTTGCAGAACCAACCTTAACAGCCCCTGACAGTTGTGTGGTTTTCTAGACAAATTTACGTCCAGTAGTTTGCCATTGCTTTCTGGACGGTCGGCTTTCTTGATACCACTGTCGAAACCAACACATACATGGCCCGCAGCTAGGATCGAACCCGGCATCGCAGCATTACGAAGCGTTCGCATCGACTTAGCCATATATATATATATATATATATATATATATATATATATATATATATATATATATATATATATATATATATATATATATATATATTATAGGACCAACAGCAGCATGACGATGGAGGGTGATGACGGGGTCACGGACTTTCATGTGGCTGGGATCGCAGGACTATTCCCGCGTGTGTGTGCTGAGTGATTCTTTGAGTATGATCTGGCGGGTCGAGGCAGGCTGGTTACGCAGACAGTGGCTTGAGTCATTGCAAAATTCTGCTGTGTGTGCAGTTACTTTCATATTTGTCCCAGGGCATGCAGGCGTTGTTGGTAATGAGAGAGATGATAGACTGGTGGGCACGGCATTAATTGAAGATGGCAGGCCCATGGATCACGCAGACATTGTCATTGCCCTTAGAGAGATAGGACGTTCTGAAGATTTCGAAAGCAACATGTCCACATTACTTCTAAGAATACGCGAATTGGGAGTAAAGATCGGCCCAGCCAAACAGGAGAAGCACACTGAAAGCACACGAAATCTTGTTAACCAACATACGACTGGTACTATTAACCGCACGACGCTGATGAATATGTTGAGAGGGGAATCTGAGCGCCTATGGATGTGTCCGGAGTGCTGTGAAGATAATCTAACTCATAACTTATAACTCCTATATTATAGGGCACTACAGACTACGAGTCTTAATGAACAGTAAACAAATAAAGTTAAACGACCACAACTGTTTATTAACTCACCGAAACAACCATAAAATCAGGACGCTACAGGCAGGTAACATAGGTACAAAGCAATTGATACAAACAACTACCAAAAGTTACACCAGTGCACATTTACACTGTAACTTCCGGGTTAAAATGTACTAGGGAATTGCTGTTTGAATACAATAAAAGTAAAGGACCCTTTTCCGCGCCTTTAAGCGTACAGGGCATATAGGGCTAGACCTATATTTTTATAAACCAATTGTCACTTGGCGGGTAATGTGGTTAGCATCGCATGGGGAAACAGCCGAGCAATGGACAGGGTTGATACACTAAATGCGAAAGGCGGCTCTATTAAATGAATCAAGTAATGATTGTGAATCTGTCGAGACTACAGCAACATCAAAAGGGGTGAAGCTAAACAAGAGCGCTACAGAGGGGCGCAAAGAAGAATAGTAAACCAGCACAAAACTGCTGTCATAAGCAACTACACACTAAGGGAGATACTGAAAAGAGGATCTGAGCACTTATGGGTTGAATGGTTCAATGTGCAATGTTGATAATCTTTCGACTAAATAACTTATCCCCACTATCATCTTGAGGGGTTAAGTTTGATTGACAGTGTTGTAGCTACAGCTTGTGTATGCTATCAAGGATTTCATCTCGTCTCCAGTTCTCTCTTTTGCATCTATGAGTGCCAACTAGTCAATTCCTAATTGTTAATAATGCTATAACTGAAGATGTTATAACTATCTGGTCACTGCTTGAGTACTGAGTCAATGAACGCGTACGCACCAGCTAACGCCACTTGGCCACTTTTGGGATGCAAATCAACTATCCACATTCTGCTAGATATATCTCCATGGTAACCGCCCTTCCCAAAATGTAGATGAACTTTGACACCCGCGTTTTGAAGTCTTCTAGCATACAAAAACCCGTCATCCCTTAGAACATCAAACTCACAAACATGAACAAACGCCGGGGGTACTCCTGCTAGATCCAGCGCCATCAGCGGCGAGAACAAGGGGTCAGTGATGATGTGTTTGATTTGTTCATAAACATGCTGGTCGTACTGTGCGGACAGATCTGGGATCGTCTCGTGGGCTGTTTGATACTGGGCTGGTAAATGTTTCACATTCACAAATTCACCAAATGCGGATTTTCGGACGTGAGGAGGAATGTGTCTGTTTTCGTTGATCACCGTCGAGTAGTAAGTCAAGTTTTGTGGATCTGCAGATGGTACGTATATGAAACACACAAACAATGAATATCACACACTATTGCAAGCAATGCAAAATAACAAGCAACTACAATTAAAGAAGCTTAAGTTAAAATAATAATAATAAAGGACCATTTTCAGCATGTAATAATAAATGTAATAAGAGGAGAACAAGCTGAAACATATATATAGATATATGCACCATGCAATGATAATTATACAGAAGAGCAGAAAGATGAATTCTTTGACGATCTGTCTGATGAGAAAGAAAGTGTCAAAAAAGCAAAACAAGCATCCTGGGAACATTTCGGTGAGTCACTAGCAGAAAATGAGAAAACAGCCAGCAGAAAACTTTTCAAAGTAGTTAAAAATATGCGGAAAAGAGATGAGAGCCACAACCCCACTGAAATAATTAATGATAAGACAAGAAGGCCATTGATAGATCCATCCGAGATAGCAGAAAGATGGAGGGAATACTTCAATGAGCTCTTTAATCCTCTAGGAGATCATCAGGAAAGAACAACTGAAGCGTAGAGAGCAACAGTGTTAGAACCACACATACTAATGGATGAAATAGAAAAAATCATTAAACAGTCTCCCAAATATAAAGCACCAGGAGCTGATAGATTACCAACAGAAATAATTCAAGCAGCAGATGAAAGCAGCATCAGATGGCTTCACAGAATATTCAATGCAGCATGGGTACAACAAACGGCCCCTATTGATTGGCAACATGCAATAGTTATACCAATGTGGAAGAACAAAGGAAGCAAACGAGAATGCGGTCAATATCGAGGCATCTCTCTTTTAAGCCATGTTGGCAAAATGTATGCCAAGATAATAGAAACAAGACTGAGACCAGTGATAGAACCACAGCTGGCAGAAGAACAGATGGGATTTAGGAGAAATAGAAGCTGCACAGATGCAATCTTCACACTTAAACAGTTAATAGAAAAGAACATTGAATACAAAAAGAACCTATCTGTGGCATTCGTAGACCAGGAGAAGGCATTTGACAGAGTTGACAGACAATTATCATGGAAAATAATGGCAAAATATGGAGTAAGCGAACACCTCATCGAAGTGTGCACAAGTTTATACAGGGATTGTAGAAGTGTAGTTAGAATAAATCAGGGAACATCTCACCCTTTCACAGTGACATCTGGAGTAAGACAGGGGTGTGTCTTATCACCAGTGCTGTTTATCACCTACATCGACAGTATATGCAAGAATGCCAAGCTCATGAATGAAGATCTTAGTAAGATCAACGAATTACTCTTTGCAGATGACCAGGCCTTGATAGCAGATACAGCCATGAAATTGCAACAACATCTAACATCCATGAATGAAGAATGTAAAACAAATAATATGAGAATCAACACTGAAAAGACAGAAGTAATTGTCACAACCCTATTAAGTACAGTCAGTGTACCACACCGTAAGGTGTGCACCCAGGGTTGACACAGAGGTCAGGGCCGTCACTGGTCGAGTCCGTTCTGTGATCGCACGGCGAAACCA